AAAAAAAAAAAAAAAAAAAGAGGAAAGTTTACAATGAAATAACAAAGACTCACACACACTCCCAATGACTTCCCACCCTCTGCAACCATACTCTCAGACACCCAGCCCTTCACACTTGGGCCTTCCCCAAGGCTTGCTTTGGCTCTAAGCCGAAGGTGGCCTTTGGTCAGGAACCGTGTGTTCCTCTGTCACCTTGACCTCCCCTTGGAATAAGAATTTTAAAGAGAAATAGGGTTGGGGATGGTGATGAGAGGATTATTGTCTAGGAAATCATTGTTCTGATTAAGCAGATGCTGCCTCACTACTCCTGCACTCAACACAGCCAGCTGCATGGAAAAGCAGCCTGGCATGGAGGTGGAAGTATTGGACAAAGAGTGCCAGGGTCCAACCTTCTCTGCCATGGACCATGGGAAAGTCACCGGGTCCTCCTTTGCCCACTCTCGTTCAGTGGGGAATGAGTAGGAAGATGGGAAGAATGATGGGACTCCATGTTTCTCCCCATCCCTAACCTCTCAGACTTTATAAACACCTGAGAATGACAAAGCAACTTAGTGGTTTTCAAAGTAAAGTTTACAGAACAGGCAAAAGAGGGTAATGGATAACCAAGAAACCAAGGGGGAAGCAGGAAGATAGAAAATAAGGTGAGTAGGAAAATAAAGAAGCTGTGGTGGTATGGCAACCCTCACAAACAGAAACAGAGAGGAAGACTTAGGTCCAGTGCTGGGCTGGGGAAACAGGCAGAAAGTGTTTAACACAGGTAGAGGTGGCGTGGCCCCCACAGTCCCTCCCAGCCTTCCCACTGCTACTTCCAGTACTGGTCAGCACCCCACCCCACCCCCCCAACACAAAGCTCCCTTTCTGGCCTAACGCTGCATCTCCCCCAGACAACAACATAGTGGCTAGGATAGATCATGGTACTATTATTGTACTGAGCACCTATTATGTGCCAGGCTTTGTGCTGAATACTTTACTTGCCTTAGCTCACTGAATCCTATCAATTCTATGAGGGAGATGCTATTCTTATCTCCATTTCATAGGTGATGATGTTGATGCTCACAAAGTTTAAGTAACTTGCTCCAGGTCACAGTCGGTAAATGGCAGAGAAAGGTGGTTAGTCTTTCTTTTTTTTAATTTTATTTTGATTTGGGTGAAGTTTACAGAGCAAATTCACTTTTCATACAGCAGTTCACATATACTTTGTCTCATGTCATTGACCACAATTTACCACAATGCAACAGCTCCCCTCCCACTTCCTCCCCATAGTTACCTCTTCCCAGTGTCCATCCCTCCATACTCTCCTG